CTTTGTACTATGCGCACACCACTAGTAACAATAAACCTACTAACCTAGTAAGTAAAATTTCAGTTTTCTTTCTTTTTTAAAAAAATATATCTTTATTGATTTCAGAGAGAGGAAAGAAGAGGGAGAGAGAGATAGAAAGATCAATGATGAGAGAGTCATTGATCGGCTGCCTCCTGCACGTCCCTGACTGGGGATCGAGCCCGCAACCCGGGCATGTGCCCTGACCGGGAATTGAACCCCAATTGCCTGGATCCTAGGTCGACGCTCAACTGCTGAGCCATGACTGGCTGGGCCAAATTTCAGTTTTCTTTGCAGTTTTGGGCCTTTTTTCTTCAGATTGAGTAGAGTGAAAGTATTGTAGCTAAAATTTACTTGGATTCTTTTCCATTTTTCTGTAATAAGGTTGTTACCCACTTGATATATATATAAGTTTGTTTCTATTTCCAACTTTAACATTTAAAAAAATCCTTGTTAACTTTTGGCATTTTAATTATGATGTGTCTTGGTGTGGACTTCTTTGGGTTCATCGTCTTTGGGACTTTTTGGGCTTCTTGGAATTAGATATCTGTTTCCTTCACCAGATTGGGGAAGTTTTCAGCTAGTACTTGTTTAAATAGGTTTTCTGTCCTTTCTCTTTCTCTTCTCCTTCTTGTTCTCCTATGATTCAAATGTTAGTATACTTGATGTTGCCCCAGAGGTCCCTTAAGCTCTCCTCATTTTAAAAAAATTCTTTATTCTTTTTGCGGTTCTGAATTGGTGATTTCCACATCCTTGTGTTACAGAATGCTGACTCATCCTTCTGCATCAACTAATCTGTTGTTGATTTCTTCTAATGTATTCTTCATTTTGGTTATTGTATTCTTCATTTCTGACTGGTTCTTTTTTGTAGTTTCTAGCTGTTAAATTTCTCACTGAGTTCATCTCTTCTTCTCCTTAGTTAATTGAGCATCATTATAACCAGTGTTTTGAAATCTTTATCTGATTGCGTGTTCCTGTTTCATTTAGTTCTTTCTCTGGGGTTTTGTCTTGGTCTTTCATTTAGAACATATTTCTCAGTCTGCTCATTTTGGCTGTCTCTCTGTGTTTGTAAGAATTAGGTGAAACAGCAACATTCCCTGGTCTTGAAGGAGTGACCTTGTGTAGGAGTTTTCCCTTTGTAGATTGCATTTGCCAGACGTATTTGGCAAGCCAGGTGGAGCTGGAACCTGGAGCTGGAACATTCGCAGGCCTTAAGGGATTCCCGAGGGCAGGCTTCACTGGGGCCTGGAGCTGTAGATGGAATGGGCACAGGCCAAGGGAAGTCATTGGGGCAAGCTGTGCCAGGACTGCCTTGGCAGGCAGGTAGGAGTTGTAGGTGGAGTGGGCTCAGGCTTCATTTAGGCCCTGGGGGCAAGCTGAACCAGTGTCTGGAGCTGAACAGGAGCAAGTATGAGCCTCAGGGGCTGTAGCTGAAGTGGGCATGGTCTATAGCAAGTCCAGAGGCCAAGTCACACCTGGGCAGAAGCTGTAGCTAAGGCATGTGCGAAGCTGAGGAGAGTCCTGGAGGCAAGCAGTGCAGGGCTGCCCTAACAGGCCAGCCAGAAACAGGAGGTGGAGCTGGGCCAGCCCCAGAGAGTCCTGGGGACAAGCTCAGAGCTGCTGTGGGCCTGGGGCACACTGGGACAGCCTTGGCCTGCAGCTAGAGTGTCCGGATCAAGAAGTGGGGGCACAAATGGTGCTCTGTTGCCTTCAGCCCCAGAGAGAGTTCCTGGGGCTCAATCAGTTCCTCTTCCACTTGGCAAATGCTCTAGGGTTAGTAAATAGATTTCCTTCCTGTGTAGCCTAGGTGTCCTTTAAACTACTGGCTTTTTTTGTTGTTGTTTTTTAAACAATTTCCCATTTTTTCTTCTTTTTTTAAAAAAATATACCTTTGTTGATTTTGGAGAGAGGAAAGGAGAGGGAGAGAGAGAGAGTTGAAATGTCAATGTTGAGAGTCGTCACTGATCTGCTGCTTCCTGCAAGCCTCCGACTGGAGATTGAGCCTGCAACCCAGGCATGTGCCCTGACCCGGGATCAAATAGCGATCTCCTGGATCTTAGGTCGATGCTCAACCCCTGAGTCATGCCCAGCCTGCTAAACCACTGTTTTTAAGCTGTGCTCCAGGGTAGGTGACTGTGTGTTGGGTGGGCTGTCCACCTGCCTGTCTACTGTGCTCCTACCTGTTTCTGTGAGGTCTCTCTCATTTGTTGTGCAGTTGTTCAATCAGCCCTCGATTCTTCTTCAGTGGGTAATTGCTCTGTCTGTAGGTGTAAGTTCGATGTGTTCCTGGGAGGAGGTGAGTTCGGCGTCTTCCTACACTGCCATCTCGGACCTGAATCCCCTTCTTGTTGATTTAATTTAATTTTTAAATATGTAAAATATTCACATGTCATCAGACTTCAAGACTTTATAAAAATATGCTCAAAGACTCATTCTGGTTCATCTTTTCTGTACTTCCCTTTACAAAAATAAGTGCAAATATATGAATATTTTCATACTATTTCTTCTTTACCACACACAGATAACAAACAGGGTGACATTATAGGTTCAGTTTTCATTTTCCTGTAATATCCTGAGTTCCCTCCAAATTAATTCATTGAGTCTCTTGTTATTTTTTTCATCTTTAAATATTTCATTGTGTGAGGATGCCATTGTTTCTTCAAACAATCATTTAAATTGTTTTCACTAATTTGCAATTACCTAGTCACCCTGCATTTGTTATTATGAGAAAAGCTGAACAACTCTTTACATGTTTAAGGTTTACATATATACACATGTGTGCCATGAACTGTCCATGCCTTTTGCTCATTTTTCTATCAGATTTTTTTGTCTTTTTTCCTTCAAATTTAAAAAAGTTATCTATATATTAGAAATATTAACCCTTAATCTGTGATATGCACTTATCATTTGCATTTTGGATTTGCTTATGGTTTTATATGCAAAATTTGAAAATTTTTTTTTTAAAATATATCTTTATTGATTTCAGAGAAAGGAAAGGAGAGGGAGAGACAGAGATAGAAACATCAATGATGAGAGAGTCATTGATCTAGCCCGCAACCCAGGCATGTGCCCTGACCAGGAATCGAACCCTAATCGCCTGGATCTCAGATCGATGCTCAACCACTGAGCCACGCCTGGCCGGGCGAAAGAATTTTAATGTATTTGAAATGGAAATCTTTTACTGCCTTTTGGTTTTGAGTCAGTTAGAACATCTCGTCTCGTATACCAGTATTTTCTTCTTGTGTTACTGACTAAAGTTGGTGGGTCCTTTGCCTCTTCACACAGAAAGGCCAGATTCTGAAGCAACAGGTTTTTCACAGGTGAAAGGGGGTTTTACTCCTGAGGGAGCCAGATAAGGAGATAGGGAGAAAGCCCAAATCTCTCTCCCCAAATAAAGATTTGAAGCAAATTTAAAGAATTAAGGTGAGGAGGGGCTATGCAAATTCATTAATCCTAATTTGGGAGTCTGGATAAATAGTCTTGGAACTAAGCCGTGTAAGGTAAAGAACGTGAAAGAGGGCAGGACGGAGTCAGGAAGTTTCAGCCTGGCAGACTGTGACTGGCTAGTCCTGTGTGTGCCCGTGTTCAGTCTGGGCACCCAATCCTCCTGCTTCGTTGACCTTGAGCTTCTTCAAGAGTCCGAATGGCAGACAAGGGCACCTCTGTTCCTTGAGTTCCAAGAGAACTTGGTTCTTCTGTGCTCTCGAGGTCAGCTTCGGGTCATTTGACTGCTAACTGTACCTGCTCAGGCCTCGGGGAGCAGTTTTATCCGGCTAGGCTGGTGGTCCCTGGAGCGCTGTGAGGAGGCCTGGTGTTATCTGCTGAAAAACACTAAGAAAAACTAAAGAGAGAAAAGCTAGTACCGTCTGGTTTCAGTGTGAGTCCCTTTGGGGCACCTGGTTTCACTGTCAGGACCCCGTTTCTTTGCACTCATGTGGTTTCGATTTTTTGTGGCTGAGTAGTACTCTCCTATTATTTTTCTTTACTGAGTTCTTATTTATTTAATAATGGCTTTATTGAGATATAATTCCCATACCATACAGTGTAATTCCCACACCATACAGTGTACCTATGTAAAGTGTGTAAGTCAGTGGTTTTTAGTATATGCACAGAGTTGCACAATCATACGACAATCAATTTTAGAAGATTTTCATCTCCCCCAAAGAAACCCTATACCTGCTAGTGGTTA